GTTAAAGTGAGGGGGGAGGGAGCGAACGGTGGCGAACTTAGGCTGAAGAAAGAAAGTGTCCACGGGCCATGTTTTAAGAAACGTGATTACAAGCTGCGCGTTCAGGGAATCGGGTCAAAGAGCATAGGGTTGCAAGTTTGGGGAGCTTTAGGGTTGCCGGCCAGAGAGATTGCAAGAGATTAGGGTCTCAAGGCATTGGATGGTTAAGGGTACTAGAGTGTGGGATAATTGTTGAATAAAGCTAGGACTGGAGTGGAGGGACTCTGTTTACTGAATGTCATCAAATGGTGTAGAAAGGTTTGCGAGCAGAGTAACTAAAGGGAAAGAGTCATATGAACATGGAGCCTGAAGAGGAACATAAAGAAGACCAAGCCAGTAGTGCTGGAAATGAGGGGATAAATCAAGACAGTACAGTGGAAAAAACCAACAGTGAAGTGAACAAGGGGGCAGCAAAATTATTTCCAGAGACAGCTGAGGAATTGGAGGGGCAAGATCAGGAAATTTTGAGGGACTTCAGAGAATTGAATCAAGGGGAGGTTGATATGTTAGAAGGAGAGGTGGCATTAGGTAAGGATGGGAAATATACTGAGGATATGACAGAACCAGATCCTGGAAAAGTAAAAAAAGTGGAAAGAGCAAGTCTTGGGGAGCTCAAAAGTAATGCAGAGAAAGAGGAATCTGAGGAATTGGGAGGAGCAGATCAGAGAGAGACTGGTTTATTTGTGAGCCCAGCTGTGGGGGAAGCAGAAGAAAAGACTCCAGAGGGGATAGATCAGTGGAAGATAAAGGAGCATGAAGAAGAAGGGATTGTTGGAGAGAGCCGAATTTTTCTAGAAATGGATGAAAAGAAAGTTGTTTTGGCAGGTCAGGATCAGAGGGAGAAAGAAGTTCATGCAGATACTGAAGAAAACATGGATGAGAAGATTAAAGAGACAACTGATGGGGAAGGCATGGCATTGGAGAAGTCTGAAGTATTAGCTTCAGATCAGAAGGATTCAGAGGGAGGGACTGGAGAGGCGGTTGTTGAAACTGCAGAGAATCAGATAGAGGATAATGAGTTGTCAAGATTGGGTCAGGGAGGCAATTTGGAGATGACTGAAGAAGGAAAGGATGTAGCAGCTGTAGTTGGCCAGAGAAAAGCTGAGGAGATGTTAAGTACAGGTGACTCAGAGAATATGGCTCTAGAAGGAGATGCAACATCAGTAGTATATCAGAGAGAGACTGAAGAATCCGTAGGATTAGGCATGGAGCAAAATAAGGTGTTCACCGAAGCTGGGGATTCAAACTTGGATGAGACAGAGACTCAGGCACTGGTTGTACCAAATGAAGAAGAATCTGAAAAGATTATCAAAGGGAAAAATTTGGTATTTGTAGAGTATCAAAATAAAGAGATAACTGAAGTAGATCAGAAAGAGTCAGACAGTTTAACTGTAGGTGGAGCTGAGACAACAATAAAAAGCCAGGGAAAACCTGAGGAAATGTTGGAGAATCTCAGGGAAGCTGGGGAGATCACTGCAGAGAGAGATGCAACAGTGGCTGAGGAGGAAGCCAGGCTTTTGGAAGCAAATCAGACACAAGTTGAAGAGACTGAGAAAGAAGAGGTACCATCAGCACTGAGTCAGGGGGAAGCTGGGAAAGCACCAGAACCAGAGATTGGTCAGGTAGAGGCAGAAATGGGAGCTGTAGAGAAAGATGCAGCATCAACATTGCATCAATCAGAGGCTGAGGAGTTAGTTGAGGAAAGTCAGAGAGAAAGTGTTAAATATGTAGAACCAGTGGGGGAACAAAAGGTAACTGCAGGGGGAGCTGTGACACTAACAGTGGTTGAAAGTAAGGCTACATATTTGCAGGAGACAAGTGAGATGGTAACGGGAGGGGAGGATATCTCACTAGTTGTAGAGACAGAGGAGAAGAGAGTTGGGAAAGTGATAGCAGAAGAAGATGTGATGATGCCAGTTGAAGATAAGACTGAGGATTTGGTGGAGACAAGTGAGGTGATAACAGGAAAGGAAGATGTAGCAGCTGTGCAGCCAGAGAGAGAGACTGTTGCGAAGGTGACTGCAGAAGATGATGTATCATTAGCAGTAGTTGAAGTTAAGGTTGAAAATTTGGTGGACATTAATGAAATACTGACAGAGGAGGACATGGCACTAAATATAGAAGCAAAAGGGGAGGCTATAGAGGGGTTGATTGCAGAGAAGGATGTAGCATTAGCATTAGATCATGGAGGAGAAGTAACAGAGGCACCAGAGAGTGTAAGTAGAATACAAGAAATGCCTCAGATAGCAGTGGAGGAAATACCTGTGGAAAGTCAGGAGGAGAGAAATGAAGGAAAAATGGAATCAGAGATGGTTGAAGAGAAGGTTGGAGATTTAACAGAACCAGAACAGAGGCCAGCAGAAGAACAAGTAGGACTATATCAGAGGGAAAGCAAACAGTTGACTTCAGCTGGCATGATTGATAAAATGGAAACTGGAGAATTAGAGGTGACATTAGCAATTAATCAGAATGAAGTAGTGGAAGGACTGAGGCCATTTCAGGAAAAGGCAGAGATTGCTGTCATACATGATGAAACATTGACGTTACACCAGCAAGATACTCTGGGAAAAAAGTTATCCTCTCAAGAAAAGATTTTAGCTTGGAGTCCAGAACTGGAAGGACCAACTCAGGAGATAGTAGCAGGGGGCTCCGGAGAAGGGATATCCAGATCAGATAAGAAAGAGGATAAACAGAGTCAAGAACACGTTGCAGAGTTGGCCAGAATTGTCAGGGAAGGAATAGGTTTGGGCTTAGATCAAGTAGAGTTGGTAGAAAGAAGCATGAGGATCACTGAAGAATTAGGTAAATTGGGTTTTTCTGTGGCACAGTCACGACTATCACAATGTACTGCCATGGGAAATGAAGAACGCAAAGTGAAAGGTAAAATAATTTTAGGCTTGGCAGGGCTGCGACAAGGGCCAATTCGAGTAACACGGCATGGGCCCACTCGGTCAGCAGGAGGCTATAATGGAGTGTTGGCACATGTAGCTCCAGGATTGATAGTGACTGGCTTAACAAAGGCTGAGCGAAAGAGACTAACAAAACAAGATCATAAGCAGTCGGAGAAGAGGACATTAGAACACAGGGAGACTCAATCAGCTGAACAGGGGCGTTTTGGAGTAAAAGTAAAGCCAGGTAAAGCAGTGGTCCTCATGGGATACCGAATTGGGCGGGAAGGAATGTCTTGTTCTTCAGAGGCAGAGAAGAGGATGGCAAGATTTCAGCAGGTGCCTGAGTTAGAGGAGATTGGAAAAAAGCCTGCAGTAGAACAGGCAGAGGCACCTAGACAGGAACAGGAAGGAAGGAAGGAAGAGACACAAGAAGATAATGTTAATGAAGTAGTAAAATATCATCTAGAGGAACTGCCAATGGCATGGCTTGGTAGACCATTGACACGAGATTATACAGCAGCACAAGAAAGTTCTGGGTGGACTGCAGGCATAGGGCCAGGACATGGGCGTATTTCAAGGTCACTTCAGGCAGGAATAAAAGAAAGAATTAACATGATGGTGATGGGTGAGGGTACAACAAAATCAGCAGCGCAGAATCTTGAACCATTAAATTTTGGACTGAGAAGAAGGGTGTTTGGGCTTACAAGCAAGTCTGCAGATGTGCATTGGCTGAATGAGGTATTGAAGCCAAAACCAACATGCTCTCGGCTTGGTGCTGCAGGTCATAAGGTTCATGAAAAAGAAGGGAGTCCTGTCCTGATGACTGAAAGACAAAGTCCTGGTTTATTAACCAGGAAAAAAGAATTAAAAGATTGGAGGGATGGGGTGATGGGAATTGCAATCAAGAGGTACAATGCAGTGAGACTGGCTATGTGGGGCGAAGGCCCAGTTGGTTTGCACGTAAAGGGGATGAAGTTAGCTGAGGAGTCATACAGTCCTCCAAGTAGCACCAGTAAGATGAGTTCCATGCTGGGACATGTTGAAAGAAGGGTGTTAAAGATGGCACAGCATGTATCAAATGAGACAGTACCAGGTTTGGAAGTGGATAGACAAAGGCTGACTGAAGTACTGAAGCAGGATATGGAATTAGCAAGGTCAAAGGAGGGTGAGAGATTTTCAAGGTAACTGGTGAAAGAAATTATGCAATGGGTTTAGGGATATTGGGTTCTTTAAGCGTTAGTGGAAAAGCAGAGGGTATATAGAAAATAGTAAATAGCAAAGCTTCTGCTTGAGTGGATTTGTAGATATTTGTCAAAGGAATAGAGAAAGAAGAAAGACCAAGACAATAATACAAGTAACAGGCAGAGTATTGACGCTTCAGGAGCAAAGGTGGGTACATAGGAAATGAAACAAGGAAACATGGTTAAAAATTGATATTAAGAAAATTGGTGTTCTAGATCATCTGGGCTTTGTGGTTGTGAGTGGAAGGTAACTAACATCTTTCAAAAAGGGAGAAAATTGTCTCTGGCACATTCAGTAGCACCCCAAACAGGTTCTTGCCTTTTTTCATAGGCTTGGATTTGGTAGCTGGTGCTTTACATTAAAACTCTCCATTGCAATCTGTGGTTAAGCTATTCTTGTGCTGGCTGCATTACAGTCATGGAGAAACAGGATTGCTTTTTGCTAGTGCTGTTGAGGGTTTTTTAAAAAAAAGGAAGAGCAAGACATAAGCTAAAGGAACAGATATTTGTAGAACGTGGTGTTCTCTACTCTGGACTGACCAATTTTTTTTTTCAGGAGTAGTCTTCCCCTGGAAAGCGAAACCCTGGAAGTGCAGTCTGAAAAGCAAGTGGAATTCTCAGCTCAAACAGGTACAGCTGAAAATAAAAAAAAAATATTGTGGACATGAAAACAGGACATATGTATAAAAGTGCTGAGCAAACAGACACTTTTGATTACCTTACCTTCCTAAAAGTAAAATTAAATACAGTTTGTTTCTATGTCCCATATTAGATTTTGCTTGCTGAGATATACTTGCTGGAAAGTATATTAGGAACTATTGCAGCCAAAAGGCAGGAAATATATTTGATAAATCTTAACTAATGCAAACACATACTGACATGTTGTGGGCACCCTCAAGTTTGGAGCTGCACATTTTCTCATAATGGGCAAACAAATTTTCTTGGGAAATTTCCATTGGAAAAACATGGTGTGATATCAAAATTTCCTTTCTGTGTTGCAGTTACATTTCAAATCATAATATCATACGCAGCGGTTTTTTTCAAAAATGTAGAGATGAGAAAGTGGTGAGCTGTGAACAAACTGTTAGAACAACTTTCAGAGCTATTAGAACAGCAGCACAGTAATAATAAGCATTGATTTTTAAACCAGTCATATATTCAGAAAGCTACAGATGCAGCCAAATTAAATAAATTGAAGAAACTGAAATATAGATGTCTTCAGGGGCCATCTAAAAACTGAAAGAGAAGTAAAAAAAATATGTTTTGGGAGAGAGAAATTTTCTCAAATTTAGGACAATCCCCAAACAGTGAACTTGGTCTTTCAGCAAGGGTGCATCCCTTTTCAAGACCTTTTCCTACAAGTTTTTCTTACAGTTATGTTAAATGCTATTGGCAGAAGACATATTGTTTTGTTTTGATGTGTTTAATTGTATTTTCTTCAAAAAAGCTCTTTTTGATTTTTGCATCAGTCTTGAAAGTTTTTCAGTTTGGCTGTAATCACATATGCTGATTTCTGCTCATGAATCTCTTCAGCTAATTCTGAGTCAGGCAGTCCCGAGCGCAGGCTGGGCTGCCAAGGAACCCAGGAGCTGGACGGCTCGTCCCAGTGGCTGGCTGACCAGAATGAGGCCGGTTCCCAGCATGCACTGGAACAGGACGCCAGCACTACAACCGCAATTGAAACTATTGGGACGAGAGGCAAAGAGCAAGAGCGAATTAAAATGCAGAGCAGTCCTCCTCGACAACACCACACGCTGCACACACAGGTAGAGTTGGAGGTGAGAAGCACCCATGTGCAAATCCCTCTGGATTAGCCAAGGCTATCAATGTGGATTTTGAATGATGGTTAAGATAATGGGGGCCACATTGTAAGAAGCAGCTTTGGGGGCAAACCAAAGGAAGGACTTCTCTGAGGCCTCACCTAGTCTTATTTCTGGAGTTATTATATTTTAATGATTAAGACCACTGTGATAATCCTTGCTGTTGGTTTTCTCCTTCCTTCCATGCCTCTCATGTTATGTTGCATCCATCAGACTGCATCAGACAAAATGACAGGCAGCAATCCAGTGTCACCAGCCTCTTCAGGCTCACCTGCCTCAAGTGGGAGCATCTCACCATCACATCTGACCCACGACTCTTTGGATAGTCACCTAAGCTTTGATGGTCCCAAGTCACAGAACAGAACCCTTGTATCATCTGGGATGTACATCTCCCCTGATCCTGCGAGCATGTGGGACAAGACACATGCAGAGATTGCTGAGCAGGCGAAGCATGTAAGCCTTTGTCCAAAGCCACTGGGCCATTTTGGCCATCTATCTATTGGGCACTAGCATCTGCAGTCTAAGATAGTAGGGTAGCGCTGGGGACTTTTAGGAAGCATGTGAATGAACTGCCTGACTTGGACGTTCTATTTTAGGAAGCAGAGATTGAAAATCGCATTGCAGAAATGAAGAAGGAGGGATTCTGGTCTTTGAAAAGGCTTTCAAAGGTGCCTGAGCCAATTCGGCCCAAAGTGCACTGGGATTATCTTTGTGAGGAAATGCAATGGCTCTCTGCTGACTTTGCTCAAGAACGTCGCTGGAAGAGGGGTGTTGCCAGGAAGGTAGGTTCCAGCATCTCTGAACTGTCCAGTCTCCAGACTTTTTCAGCTGGTTTTGCATCCATCTATTCCTAACTTTATATATTTTATAAGCAAATACCATTTAATGGGATGCGTCTTAACTGTTTCATGGCTCCTGTGGAATTTTCTGGAGTTTCGTGTTTCCTAGCTAAGTGTCATAATTGGTGCTGTTTCAACAGGATAGTGCATAGTATGGCTATACAATTTCCCTCCACAAAACCTCTAGTAAACTAGTCTTTCCTAAAACATAGTCCAGGATAAGGTGGAAAACATGGCGATCTGTGATGGATTTTGGTCTCTGGGATTTGCCTTCTTCCTCTGTTGCATTCAGGTTGTGCGCATGGTGATCAGGCACCATGAGGAACAGAAGCAGAAAGAAGAACGAGCCAAACGAGAGGAGCAAGCCAAGTTGCGCCGCATTGCTTCCTCCATTGCCAAAGAGGTCAAGCAGTTCTGGAGCAATGTTGAGAAGGTGTGTGAAGCATTTGTCCAGAGTCAGGAAAACTGTGCATACATCTTGTTAGCCTAAATATATAGGCAAGTACATGCCAGCCCATTTTCCAAGTCATATTGAATTTATTCTTACTTTTATATGTCTAATCAAGAATGTAAGAAATCTATGCGTGAAAGAACTGGTCCTTTATACCAGAATGTTACCCTTGGCTATTATTATAGTTATATCCCATCTTCCCTGCAAATGTTCAAGGGAGTGCATATGGGAATTTCTCCTCATTTTTATCCCCACAACTCCATCAGAAAGGCTGGATTGAGGGATAGCAACTAGCCATTCAATAAGCTCGCGTGGTCAGATAAGTTTATAGTCTTAGTCCAAGTCCAAAACCACACTGGCCTACACTTTTTAACTTTGCATTGGAGCTTTTTTCCTAAGTAAATTGGGGTTGTAATTTTTTTCTTTTAATCTGATTAACAACGTCCTTTTGAACAGCGTGAAGAAGTCAAGCAAGTTTTTGTATTCTCATGGTTGCAGAGGAAAGGATGGCTGTATTTATGCATAATGCTATTAAAAGTGCATTGTGGGTCTTGAATGAATTTAGTTCACGACTAGATTCCAGCAGAATTATATTCTGCAGAAGATGTAGTTTGGTATTTCTTAACTTCTCCTTCAGGTTGTGCAATTCAAGCAGCAGTCACGTCTAGAGGAGAAACGGAAAAAAGCGCTGGACTTGCAGCTGGATTTTATAGTGGGCCAGACAGAGAAATATTCCGACTTGCTGACCCAAAGCCTCAATGAGACTCTTCCACTTCCCAGCAAGGCCAGTGGCTCCCATGCTGGCTCTACTGCTTCTAGTCCACCACCCCCTGCTCAGTTCATTGAGGATGAAGGTCAGTTACCTCAACTCTGTTCTTTATGCTTGACAATTCCTGACCCACTTGGTATGGCTTCTATCCCAAACCCCATCTTCCCCCTTAAAACATTTGCTTTGTTATAAATGTATTCACTTCCCGGGGGCAGGGTGGGGTGGGGATTTCCATGTCCATTCCCTACCCACACACAAACCTAGAGGTGGTTTTGTGATTCCAATGGAGTTGCAGCTGATCCTTCTTCTCTGGCAGATGGGGATTTCCAACCCCACGAAGAGTCAGATGATGAGGAGACAATTGAAGTTGAGGAGCAACAGGAAGGGAATGATTCAGAAACACAGCTGCGGGAGATCGAACTGCTGAAGCAGGAAAGTGAGCTGCCCCTAGAGGAACTACTGCAGACATTGCCACCCCAAATCTTAGAAAACTCTGTCAGTGTATCTCCTTGTGCCTCCAGCTCTGACAATGATGAAGAAGAAGAGGGTGACAGCGAAGAGGAAGTTGAGCAGGAGGAAAGTCAGACTTCTGAGAGCCTAAAGGTATCCTTCAAGACAAATCTTGGGCTGGGAAGGTAGGGTTCTTTGTATTTGTAGGCTGTGATTAAGAGAATCCAACCCCTTGATTTTGAAACTCATACTTTAACTGGCACCCACAATTGATATTTGGCAACAAACATCAATTACGCATGCTGGTTAAAGTAGAAGTTTAAAAATCAAGGGGCTCTCTTTTTAGATTTTAATGTTCTGTCCTTCTGTCACATGCTCATGCAGTACAAAGGGCCTCCTGTTGCTGTCTGTCTCTTGAAGCCTTTTTTTTCCCCTGTATTCAGCAGGAGAAACCAAAGCCTGTTACTCAGAGGAATAAAAAACCTTGGAAACCTGATGAGGAGGATGAGGAGTTTACGGCCAATGAAGAAGAAGGTAAGAATGCTGTTTTGAGCCATGGGTTGACTGAGTGTAATGAGAATTGGGATGAGGTTAGGATTGGAATGCAATAACATAGGGAATCCTTTCTCTCTCAGCTGAAGATGAAGAGGAAACAATAGATGCTGAAGAAAAGCTGGAAGGAAATGTGGATCACAGCAAAGAACTGGATGATCTGGCCAAGGAAGGTTCGAAGGCAGATTGTATCTTGGGATAGCAAATGGGGATTAGGAGTTGAATTCCATAGTGTCACAAAACAATAAGCTCTATTACTGAATTGTGTTTCTGAATGTCTGCTAGGTCTGTGAACCATCATTCCTAGAATTTCTTAAAGTGACACAGGGCCAGGGTAAGCACCTGCCCCAACATAATATTGTATGTCTTGGAGTACTTCTCCTTCCCACAAAAAAGTGTCTCCAGTAACCTTTTTGTTGATGAACTTGAGCTGTTACAGGCTGGCTGGCTGGCTGGCTAAATCCTTCCTTCCTTCCCTCCCTCCCCCCCCCCATGACTTTGCAAAATGACTTTGCAGACTAAAATTTAGAAATTGGCTAATTTGAGCAAGTGGATAAGGTAATGGAGTACAAAAGGGACGAAAAGCACATGAATCTGATTCTAAGTTAGAGTTGATAGCTAGTGCTAAGAGGTAACCTCTAGTTGCAGTTGACAGATCATTTCAAAGCTTGACCATTCCAGAAAGGGAAGATCACTTCAACATAAATAAAGCAGCAGGTGAGGTTGGAGAAATCAAACTCTTTAGATTCCATTGGCCTAACATGAGGTTTTCTTTCTGTCTTAACAGGTGAACTGCCCATGGAGGAGTTGCTGCAGAAATATGCTGGTGCTTATACTTCAGATTTTGAAGTGGAAGCATCAGACACTTCATCTGAGGCATTGGAGCCTACCACTTCAGAGTATGAGGAGGAATCAGAGGAAGATAGCACTAGTCATTCAGGTATAGAAGGAGGAGGGAGTGGCTCCTGTAACATACGACTACAATTAAATCCTGTATCTCAGGGTTGAACAGTTGAAGTCCACAAAATGTGAACTGCACCTGTCATTATTTCTTACTATAGTCTATACTGGTTAGGACTGTTGAGAGTTGAAATTTGACAATGTCTGAAAAAAATCACTTTGCCCTCCCTGCTGTACATGATTATTTTTGTGTGATTTCAAAAGCTGAATGCATTTTTAAGCTGTTCAGACATTTGCCCTAGCTCTCCAAATTGATACCTAATTTTACAAAAACGCTTGTCTAAAAACAATGCATTGGATTTGTTTTAATGAAAACTGGGGCCTGCAGTAAGTGATTTCTCATGCAGAAAAGTAGTATATATGTTCTAAGCAATTGTAAATCATTGGTTTAAAGCAGCCAGCTGCTTGGCTTGGGGTCTGGAGCACATTTGGTCAAATAGTGATGGGCTTGTGTGGTGTGGTTTTGTCCTGATGTTGCTGATTTGCCTCCAGATTCCACAGAAGAGATCGAAGAAAGTGAGCAAGAGGAAAGTGAAGAAGAGGATGCCCTTGAGGAGGAAAGGGGAGAAGCTTCAGTAATCCAGGAGGAAGATTTTGGTGTTGAGTACCTTTTGAAGCAGGATGATGATAATGGTGGTGAGGGAGACAATGATTCAGCTCCAGCCCCAGGGCCAAAAAAAGAGATCACAGACATTGCAGCAGCAGCAGAGAGCCTGCAGCCGAAAGGCTATACTTTGGCAACTACACAGGTGAGTCATTTCTGGGGTCAGCAGATTAGGGTTGGAGTGAAATAAAGCAGACAAATTATATTACCATTCTTCCTTGTAGGTTAAGACACCAATTCCTTATTTGTTGCGTGGAACACTGCGAGAATACCAGCACATTGGTCTTGATTGGCTGGTTACCATGTATGAGAAGAAACTCAATGGTATTCTGGCTGATGAGATGGGGCTTGGCAAAACAATCCAGACAATTTCCTTGTTGGCGCATCTGGCCTGTGAAAAAGGTGGGTAAAAGGCTTGGAGAGAGCCTTGATTATTTGGGCAGGAAGGAGATAAGGAAGTGGAGATGGTTTCCACATAAGAAAAAAGCCACAACTGATGTTTTGCTAAGTCACATCGGGTACTAATTCCACTAGCATCCTTGGTAGTGTAGCTAAGCTAGTTGCTCCATACTGTGACTGATTCCTCCCAGTGGTTTCATACAGATGTTAAATAACACTGCTACAAGGACAGACAATTCCTGTGGGGTGAAGCAGAAGTATCCCAGTATTGCTTGGTGATAGTACCTGGTGAGATAGAAGCAGAACCACTGCAAATCAGTAAAGCAAAGTAGTACCTCCAGACCACAGCTTTCTCAACTACTACAACAAAATCTTATGGTTGATGGTACCAGAAGCTGCCAAGAGATGCAGGATACTAACAGGGTTGCACTCCCCCATCTTTCTCTCAGTATAGACCATCCATCAGTGTGATCAGAGTTGTTCTCCATGCCAAATCCAACTCTAAATCTAAATTGAAAAGGTCAAGATAATTAGTTTAATCCAATAACTCTTGGAGCAACCATGCATTATCTCCTCCACCAGCTTGACTAAATATGGAATATTGGCCAATAATTGTAGAATTGACCAGGTCCAAACATGATTTCTTAGGTAGGCCCTCCTCACTGGCTCTTTTTAGTGGGTAGGAAATTGTTTCTGCAAAAAAGTATTAATGATCTCAGTGACCTTTAGTGGCCCTTAAAAGTCAGGGTGGGGAGGGAACCTGCATTCAAATAGCAGCACATCTAATTCCCAAAACCTTATTGGCTTCTTTAGGAGACTAAACATAGGATTAATTCAAATGAATGTTATTAGGTGGTGTTATGGTCATCTCAGGTATGGCATGGCTTGAATTAACTCAAAGCCCACCATGAGTCTAAGCGGCCTTAAAAAGCCACACAAATTGCTCATAAGGTTCTCATATGGAACCACTGCAGGCTTGTTCATCCAGGATCCTGAAAGAGCCCACTTGGACAATTTTTGATAAATGCAGTTGAGAAGAAGATTTGATGTTTCTTTTTCTCGTAAGATCTGCTTGTGATAGTGCTTCCATTTTTGGGGTAGAACTGAATGTATTCAGGGGACATGTGGCTGAGGAATAAGATGAAGAAGCAATGTTTGTCTTTAGAGGCATAAACATTTCTGTGTGCAATGTTTATTTGCTCCTGCAGGCAGTTGGGGTCCTCACTTGATCATCGTTCCTACCAGTGTGATGCTCAACTGGGAGATGGAGATCAAGCGCTGGTGTCCCAGTTTCAAGATTTTAACATATTATGGGGCACAGAAGGAGCGTAAGCTAAAGCGACAGGTGAGGGTTTTCAAGCACTCGCAGCTGGTTTTGAACTTTCATGTTTTTCAGTTACACGTAAGAAGATTGCCTTTTTTAACTTTAAAAAACTTAAAATTAGATGCAATGCCTGTCCAGTAAATTTTGAATTCTGTGGGATCCTTGATAAAATCTCTAAATGTTTGTAAATGTATTTTAAAATAACAGCTGGTCTAGCAGATGAGAAACTAGATTCTGTTATTGTTGTGTTGGACAGCATGCATGAACTAATACAGTTTTGATTTATTAATTTTATGCTAATGAAAGACATACCTCTTGCTCAACTCTGATTTAATGTAAGTCAGATCCTACCAATAGATCTCAGTATGGGTAGCACAAGATCAGAAAGAATTTCTGCCTCCCCTTTAACAATAGCCATAACGTGATTTTTTCCAATGCAAAATAGGCTGCTGAAATGAAACAATGCTTTGGGTAGCCAGAAATGGATATTTGGGTGAGATGATTATGGACTCCATTCAGTACAGATACTAAAAACAAATTCCTGTAGTCAAAATGCTCAGGAACATCCAGTTGTAACTCTTTTGTACCTGGTTTTAATAGTTAGGATCTCAGAGGTCTAGTACAAAATTAAAGTACATATAAAGGAGTTGAAATCTTGCCACTTCTGGATTTAGAGAAGGAATGAAAGCTTAGTAAAAATGATATCCAGACAATCCAGAAAATAACTATATAGTATATAGTAGGTGTTTTATAATGCATGAATCTGGGGACTATATATTATTACTTATTGCTCTGATAGGTATACACAGGATTGTAGTTCTAGAATTTATTGCTTTTATGTGCATTTACACATACATAGTGCATTTACTGGTATAGTTAAATCAAAAGTAGTTTGGAAGAGATGTTCAACCTGTTTTTTCATTTAAACTGGCAAATATTAGAGTGGTATTCCTCAGTGATTGTAAATATTAAGTCCTTGATCCTGGCCTGGCCTGTCTGCTGCTTATCATCTCTCTCCACAGTATTTCCCAATTTACCATATAACCACTCTGTCCTTGTCCTCAGTCTTCTTTCCTTTCCTAGTGTTCAAATGTGCCATTCTTTCATTTTCAAAATCAGGAAGGCGATTTGCAGTACACGTTTCTTCTAATTCAGTTTCAGTTGCTGATCCTACAGTTGCATCGGTTCCAAATAGAAAGAATTGTCGCTGTAGCTGTTTGGTTAGAAACTGGAAAAATTAAAAACACAACTTACTTGATTGATCATGCTGACTGAGATGATTGGACATAGTTTAGTCTGGAAAACATCTGGTTGGGGAAGTCTGTAGTTCATGAGTTTGGCTTGTGGTCTTGTTGGGCCTTGAAGGTGAAAACAGTAAGGATTCTATTTCCTGAACATTGTTACTTAGCTGGATTCCTTGCTAGTTTTATAGTATGTATTTCACCATAGTTTTTTTAATCGTGCTTTCTTCACTAGATCACAACATGTGCTAAATTATAGCCTAGCAGTGTGTAACTCGTGTGCACTGAGTCACTCTTTTCCGCTGAATCAGCTTCCACTTTACAGGCACAATCCCTTTCCTTAAAATGGAGGGCCTTTGAGAACAGGAAGCTGGTAGTTCTTAGTTGGAGTTAGGGAATATTCCTATTCCTAAATGGATGAAAGTATGGTGGATGAGTAAAAGCATTAAGAGTGGGGAAGGAATCATAGAATCATAGAGTTGGAAGGAACTATTTATGCCATTGAGCCCAACTAAAGAGAGTTTTTGAATCACCAATTAGAGGGCAGAATGGCATCTTGAGACTATGCATGTGTAAGAAATTAGAGCAGCTACTACCAATGGATTACTTGCAGGTATTGGTATTAGCTGCTCTTATTTCTTACACGTGCAGAATGGAATTATTCCAAGGACTTCAGGAAATAGAGGTAGATATGCTAGCTAAAATAAAGTATTCAACCTTAGTTATATCTTCCTCAAAATGATAATCCTTGAGGTAATAGTAACATCCCATTTTACTCCAACTAAATTGCCTTATAAATTAAGGGTAGAGAACTAGTGGCCTTTCATGCATGCTGCAATTCCACAACTCCAACAGTACCATTTTTGTGGGCAAAAATTGTATAAGCATCCCATGGATGTTGTCACAAGATGGTTGCTATGGATGAACTGTCAATTCACAAAATGGTTGCCAGTGGTGTGGCCAGTGGCGAGGCCAGTCAGACATTTACCACAAGATAAACTGGTAATGTTATCCCCCCTACCATTCAGTCCCCCAAGGTTCTCTCTTTTGGCCCAGCATATCTTTTACTTCTGAAGAAGTATGCTTCCAGGCAAAGTAATTGGCTGTGCTCCTCTTCTGTTATACTTTCAGAAAATGTCTGTTTAGGCCTCTTGCAAATAAAGATTATGCTAGAGATTAGTGCTTTGCAGCATGCTTTCCTATTTAATCTTTTAAACTTAACTAGATACATCAATTTATTAAATCACTAGGAGGTCAAGGTGGTTTCCATAGAATTTCCATCTTCTGTTTTTTCCCACAACAGTTATGTGAGGTAGGTTAGACCAAGAGAGTAATTGACCCAAGGTACGTGGTGAACTTCTAGTGTTGAGGACTAGAATCTGGGTTTCCTGGTACCAGTCCAACACTTGAACCCCTACACCATTCTGGCTCTCAGGAAAGATTTATTGGTCAGAATTTCAACCCAGATTGAAGGGAGTATTTTAAAATATTTCCAGGTGATTTTGTATAAAATCAGTATTTAGTTTGGAATATGAAATGCAGGAAAAAGCAAAGAATTTTAATTTGTAGCAGTAACTGTTCTTGTGCTGCCTATAACTTGAAATATATAAGAAATTCTTGCCTGTTTTGTAATGTTTCCAGGGGGTGGGGATTATTAGGAAAAAAGATAGTAGCACATATATCTTGGTCTAAAGAACAACCATTAAAAAAGTATTATTGCTCCTAAATACCTACAGATAAATAAAATTCTTAATACCATTTTTTAAAAAATTGTATTAAGACAAACTGAAAAAGGAAGTTTGCATTGTATTTTAGAGGGCTACATGTTCAAGAATGTTGGGGTATGTAGCAAAATGGGACCGGGAATGACAAGGCATCTAGTTTATAATTTGATCCATTAATTTTATTTTCAGATAATTTAAGAGGTCTCAACCAGGGGTTCATCTGCTTCATCATTCTGTATGTCCAGCATCTGATATTCATACATATACTACATGTAGGACAAATAGGAAAACGTTCACATTAATGCTGTTTTCTAGTAATTAAAGCAGAACAAAATTATTTGCTTGAGATATTGGGCATTGACTTCAGTGCCATTTCAGACCCGTGTATCAAGGTTCTAGAAACAGCAGGCACACTTAAATCTGTGAGTAGTGTAGAGAGAAAGTTGTATTATAGTGGTGGATTTAGGAACACAACTCCTATTTATAGATCATTGGCTCGAGGGACAATTTTACATTTAAGTGTTTCTACTAGAAGAGTAGCAGGCAGTTAATATGGAATCTCTTGTGAGTCCTGTTGTAACCCCTTCGCTGTCTTCATTTAGGGTTGGACCAAGCCTAATGCCTTCCATATCTGCATCACCTCTTACAAATTGGTGTTGCAAGATCACCAGGCCTTTCGACGTAAGAATTGGAAATATCTAATCTTGGATGAGGCTCAGAATATCAAGAACTTCAAATCCCAACGCTGGCAGTCTCTGCTCAACTTCAACAGGTAAGGAAATACAGTGCTGCCCTCAGCATTGAGTAGAAACCCCTTTTCTTCAGAAGTTTTCAAATTTGTGTCTTATTTGTGTTCTAGCCAGAGGCGGCTACTGCTGACTGGGACTCCTCTCCAGAACAGCTTAATGGAGTTGTGGTCCCTCATGCACTTTCTAATGCCACACGTCTTCCAGTCGCACCGCGAGTTCAAGGAGTGGTTTTCCAACCCACTGACGGGCATGATTGAGGGCAGCCAGGAGTACAATGAGAATTTAGTCAAAAGACTGCACAAGGTGAGCATCATGGGAGAAGAGGGTCTTTGCAAGGGACTGTTGAAAGTGGACAGAGATTGACTTACCTTATAGGAAAAGATCTGGAGCTGAACATGTCTTCTTTGTCATTTTCCCAACAGGTGCTACGTCCCTTCCTCTTGCGAAGGGTGAAAGTGGATGTAGAGAAGCAAATGCCAAAGAAATATGAGCATGTCATCAAGTGCCGTCTTTCCAAGCGTCAGCGTTATCTTTACGATGACTTCATGGCCCAGGCTACGTAAGTATAGAAAGTTAGCTGGGAAGTGGCAGAGGAGGTGCTCTTGGTACCAGGCTTCTTGGGTTTGTGAGAAAGGTTTTAGTTAACAGTCTGGGCCTCAAAAAATATGTAGGCTGGTCATTGAGAGATACTTTTGAGATTGATTATTATGTTCCTTGGCATGTGTGGACATAGCTGATTATATGTGGCTATCACCCTTTCAGCACGAAGGAGACGTTGGCAACAGGGCACTTCATGAGCGTCATCAACATCCTGATGCAACTCCGCAAGGTCTGCAATCACCCCAATCTTTTTGACCCGCGGCCTATCCACTCGCCATTTATCACGGAGGGCATCTGCTTCAACACCGCCTCCCTCGTCTTGCATGCTCTTGATAACGACCCTTTCAAGGCAGGTGCCTCCCCCTCTGATCTTTTGGAAGGGTGGGATTGTTCCATTTAGGTGTTATCTGGGTGGATGGTTGACAGCTGTTTTTGAGACAAGGGGGATGCATAAATAGAATAAAGCATCCTGAATTTATTATATGTGGATCTTAACCTCTTACAGCATGTGGACTTGGGCATTTTTGATCTGATCAACCTGGAAGGCTCTGTGTCCCGTTACGAAACAGACACATTTCTGCCCAAATGGAAGGTGACAAGGAAAATGATTGAGGAGATTGCTGAGTCCCCAGACCCTCCTCCCAGACCCAAGCCAGTCAAAATGAAAGTGAACAGGTATTTGTAATTCCTATCGCTTCTCAAGAGGCATATTAGTTAGTGGCTTCATTGCTTCATGTCTGGGTAGCACTATTGTTCTTAGTATTTTAGCAAGGCGTTTCCAAGCATTTTCGTGTGGTCATAAACTTGCCAGCTCTGGAGGATTTGGGGTTTTCTGGCCTAAAGAAAAAATTCGAATTGGGAAGAGATTCTTTCTATAGATAGTCCTTGACTTACAACCATTTGTTTAACAACCATTCAAAGTTATGACAGCACTGAAGAAAGTAACTTGCAACCAGTGACTCGCAACCAGACTGTTGCAGCATCCTCGCGGTCACATGATCAAAATTTGGGTGCTTGGCATCCGGCATATATTTATGATGGTTGCAGAATCCCAGGGTCATGTGATCGCCATTTGCGACCTTCCCAGGGGGCTTCAAACAAGCAGTCAATGGGGTAGCCAGATTCACTCAATGACCACATGATTCGCTTAATGACTGCAGCAAAAGTTGTAAAATCAGGCACAACTCTCTTAACAACCGCATCACTTAGCGATGGAAGTTCTGGTTCCAATTGTGGTCGTAAGTCTAGGACTACCTGTACTGGCCATTATGGAACAGAATACCTGCTATTAGTTAAGGTGCTCTTGGTATCCTGGCTCTGAACTCTCAATAGGACCTTGACTAGAGTAAATATTATACCAAATCTTGGCTGAAAACTGTCTAGCTCTGGCTGTTGTAGCTCTTTGTCTATGTTCCCAACAGACAGTTCTTAGCCAAGATTATTTTATTTATGTGGCAGAAGAAAGGGAATATCCATTGCTCAGTTGCTGAATGAATCTCTTTGCCTGTGTCATGTCTTTCAGGATGTTACAGCCAGTGCCCAAGCCAGAAAACAGGACAGTAGTGCTGGTGAACAGCCCTCGACCCACAACCCCTCTGCAGAGACCCATAACCCCTGTGCTTCCAGAACCACTGACACCTGCTCTAGCTCCTGTACCCCACACAGGCCCGGTATTGCCAGGGTCTTTGCAGCCCCCCACGCTCCCTGTCTCAGTGTCTCTCCCTGTGCCTATCCCTATGCCTCCGTCACCTGTGACCATGTCAGTACCAGTGCCTCCTTCTGCCAGACCACAGACCCCAACTCTAGTGCCTACTTTGAGCCAGAACAACACAGCTGCTACTTTGCTGCAGAGCCAGGCCTCTGTTCCTCAGGGTAAGGTTCGGAATTGTTTGGGGAATGAGGAAAGGGGACAAGCAGAGGTTTTGGGTGGTGGGGAGGTTGATCTTTGCTTTTTCTTATCTTTAGGCTTACTTTTAAAATTGCCTAAAATGTATCTGCATGTCTTGAGCTTATTTCGACATGGAAATAATAGATTTCTTGTTTGATTTTTAAAGAGCTAGTAGCCCTTGTGATCGCAGGACTGTTTTGGTATTGGGATTGCTTAAGCTAGTATCTTAATTTCTTTTTAAGGATAGGGCTAGATTAGAAGGACCTACAGATTTCTAATCCTCTTCTCTTTTTTCCACAGTCCTGCCCACGGCAATGGCTGCAGCTCAGCTGGTCCCAAATACTCCCCGACCTCTCCTCCCACCACCTCCTATTTCTCCTACCACAACCACCACCTCCTCTCTTAAGGCTGCAGCAGTTCCAGTCCCAGTGGGGCAGCAGCCCCCAGGTAGCACCTTGAGTGTCCCTCCAGTGCGACAGCAACCACCCATTAATACTTTGGGTATCACCCCTGTTGGGGGTCAACAACAACAGCCCCCCATCAGCACCTTGGGCATTAGTCCCGTGGCACAGCAACCACCCATCAACACCCAGTCCATTAACACACTTAGCATATCCCCCATTAGCACCCTGGGTGTGACCCCTGTAGCAGGGCAGCAGCCTCCACCTAGCAACACTTTGGGCCCGGGGCCTACAGCTCAACAGTCTACCAGCACCGTCGGAGGCATGGTGAAGCCCGTGAACATCCATTCTGCTGTACCTACCTTGCCTGGTTACAACTTTGCAGCGGCTGGAGGTGTGCAGCAAAGGCTTCTGTTGTCCCCGGATATGCAGGCACGATTGCCTTGTAAGTATTAAGGAGCCAGCAAGAAACAGGCAGCCACCATGATGATTTGAAAATCTAACCCTCTTTTTTTTCACTACAGCAGGTGAAGTAGTAAGCATTGGGCAGCTTGCATCATTGGCTAATCGCCCTCTCCAAGGTGCCCCAGGCAGTAAACCCCTCACATTCCAGATCCAAGGCAACAAGCTTACCTTGACGGGTACACAAGTTCGCCAGGTCACTGTGCCTCAGCCAGCACGACAGCTGCCAAGTAGGTAAACCCCAGCCCTGAACGGTCTCAATGACTTCCCTGTCCTCTGCCTTGAATAAGACAGGTTTGGGCAATTTTACTTAATGGAAGCTTAATAATGTTTTATTAGACCCCTGAGGTCCAGCAACTCGAGCCAAATACAGAACAGTAGTCTGGGAATCAGGTGCTTCTGAGTACTTAATTCAGGGATTTGTTTTCAGAACTATGGCTTGTGCATCAATACATCTACCCTATATATCTTAATTTTAGCTGGGGGGAGGGGGAGTCTGTTGTTGTCCCTTGAAATCAGAAGGCTTGTTTTGTTTAAAATTAGCAAGAGAATATCAGGTCCTAATGTACTTTTTGGCCATCCTTGGCCTAGTAACTTTTCAACATAAGAAACAGTCCTGCATGATGTGTGTCTTCTAAGTCCCATGAGGGAGCATTAAACTTCCCGCTTGCTGTATAAAATTAATTGATTTGCAAGGGAATGCTTTTTTTTATTCCTATTTATCTAACTCCATTTATAGAAGAGAATTGAAACATCTGACCCACAGACAGGATAAAAATCTTGCAAGATTAAGTGCTTCCTGTTAAGTGGAAGTAATAGTGGTAGACTATTGTGGAGATAATGTTGAAAGGGAAATGAAGTGGTAAATAGCTTTTTTATTGGAGCAGTCCCTCTAAGCTCCTGGTGTCTCTTTGTGAGTCATCCGGTGACCCGAGGGATAGAACAAAACTAGAGCCTTGCTTGACTCAGAGGACCACTGCTTCGTAGTGGGATCTCTGGAGGAGGGCTTACAAATGCATTTAAACCATTGCTACAACTGCAGACAGAACAGACAATAGAATGGGCAAGAATTCTCCTTTCCTTCTTTCCAGGAAATGTAGTTCACTTGGTATCTGCTGGGGGGCAGCACCACATAATCAGTCAGCCAGCTCAAGTGGCTTTGATCCAGGCTATGGCCCAGCAGGCTGGGCAGAACCCAGTTGGTGTGCAGACCGTGCCAGGCCACCAGCCTCCCACCATCCTGCCAGTCCCAGCTACCAGCACAACTGCTGCACCAGTTGCTTCCACAGCAACAATCAGTGTCCCTATTGCTGTTACCCAAGGTCAGTACATATCGGGATCCTGGATTTTCCTTCTAGCTCTTAAGGGAAATGTCATCTAGGAACTGGGTTTCTGGAACATTAAGCCCCTTCCTGCAACTGGTTGCCCTCCACTAGTTTTCTTTTCTGATTATTGTATTTGAGGCATGCTGTCCCCTGAATTACATCAGTGATCCCATTTGGCCTTTCTTGTGTTTTGGTAGTCTTTTCCTTTCTATACCTTCTTTATTAAACTCTTTTATTTCTCTTCCTATTCCAACATATAAATAGCAAATAGCAATAACCAGAAATAATTGTGTTTTATAATAGAGCCACAACGCAGCATCTCTTCTCTGCCATTGTTTCTCACAGTGCCATCCTCAGCAGTGAACAGTTCTGGTGTAGTAAAGATTGTTGTGCGACAGGCTCCTCGAGATGGCTTAGCGTCCCCATCACCTGGGCCACAGCATCCACCTATGCGTCCTGTGACACCAACAACTGCCAGTACGTTACCTGGCCTTCCAACAGCCCTCTTGGCACAGCGAGCTCCACTTCCTGTGAACCCAGTCTCATCAGTTAGGCTGCCCAACCAGCCACTGGTACCAGTGAGGGCACCTGCACCAGCTCCCCTGCAGACCCTTGTGAGACCCATGCTGCGAATGATACACGCCTCTAACCCCAACCTGGAACAACATCTGGGTGAGCAGGTCTTAAAGTCACCAGATGGGATTTCATGTACCTAAGAAAATTTGAGAGTTGGATCCCAGTGCCAGCTTCAAATTGATTTTTTTTTAAAAAAATGATTTTATATAGAAAATAAAAATAAAAAAGGGATACGTTTGTATACTAAGCGAAGCCTAACTATAGATATATTCCTGTAACTTTATGCAGGTAAGTGAATGATAAGAAAAAGTTAACCAGATAAATTAGTATATAGAATTGGAATTTTAATAATATTTAATGGCCTTTTTAATATTATTAAAAAGAAAAATTACATACATAAACAGAACAAACAAAAGTAATAAAACAACAGCTTTAAAAAAGGAAAGAAAAAGCAAAAGGAAGGAGTAGAAAGTGGGTGTTTGAATAAAGCAACTCCAATGAAAATGACCAAGTTGTTTGAAAACCCTTTTCCTTGCCCTTTCTAAAAAAAGTATAGTGTTGACAGACCATATATCTCAATAGTTCATTGCTGAAAGTCAGGTTTGTTCTAGTATTCTTTTAGCCATCCCCCATGCATGAAACATCCGCGGTTCTTGATGTTGTTGTGACAGATGCCAAAAGTTGGGGATGCAACCAAGCCGAACACAAATGTCCTTAACCAACAATGGTCTGTCTAAAGTCATGTTAAGCCTATGAAGGTCCATTAAAGTGTGATAAGATCAGTCTAGACTATATGCATCTCCGGCAGCAAGATGATTGAACCCAGCCATTACTTGGCATTTTCTAAGGGGTCCGGTAGAATGTGCACAAAATAGAAATGTGTTTTGTTTCTAGACCCATTCCAGTTACGTTCCAATCTGCCAGAAATAAAAACCAGAACGTGTTTGTTTTTCTGGGTTTTATCCGAAACAATACCTACAGGAATCCCGGAGTGGATTTATAGGGAGAATGGGACAAGGTTGGTGTTTGCGGCCGCCTCTCTCCCCTCCTTCAGAAATAAGTGATACCACTTGTACCTCCTCCACATAGCCTGTTTTCCTGTTCCTTCATGGTTTCAGAAGCTCTGAGTAGGACATTCCCAACCAGCCTACCTGCCTCCTAACCCACCGACCGTCCCTCCCCTGCCTCTCCTTAGCTGCCTCCAATGACCTAGTGCAGCATATGGCACCAGCCTGCCCCACTGACCTTTCAACGTCTTCCTTTCCTCCACAGTGTTACCACGGCTGTGTGAGAGCTGTTCCTCCCCTTTTCATCTTTCACTGCTTCCCCCCTTCACTACTAACATCATAGGCACATACCATTACCCAGAAAGCTCTTTGGCCTTGTTTTTTTCCTGCTCTCCCTCCTTCCTCCAAAGATAATGCTTCAGTCTGTATCTGGGACAGAAAGCTCTGTTTCATTCCATATCTGGACCGAGTATCCATGTTTTGATTTAGGGATGAACCATCTGAAACCAGCTGTTCCGTGTATGCACGGACCATTATACACATCCTTAGTGTCTGATATACTCATTTTCTTTTGGATTAACTGCATGTTACGATCAAAATAAATTCTTTAAAGTGACATTCCACTGATTCACAAAAGTAGACCAAGATCGTTAGTGTAAATTCCATATTTGTTTCATAAATTTCCTTTAGTTCCTTATAAAACTAGATAGCAGAGCCTTTTCTGGCTGTTGTAACAGTTGTGACTTGTAATAACTGGAACTTTAAAGGCAGCAATTACATTGCAAGCAAACAGCCCAGACAACATGTGTCAGAAAGTTCTATTAGGGAAACCAAATTCTGTTATAAGTACTACAAAAGTTTAAAAAACAACTGTGTTGAATTGTTGGAAATAATGTGAAAGGCCTAATTTACTGAACCTTCCTACCTCTGATTTTCCAGTCATTTTTAAACTCAGGACTATCTTGTAATATAAGCTTTTTATGGATAAATATATCTGTGATGCAGTACCAGGATTCTGGTGGTGTCACATAACAACTTTGAGCACCAAGAGGGACTCAGTTCTGTTCTTTCCCCGCAAATAGTGATAAAATAAAGGCTCAACAATAGATCTGAAAGTATAAAAAATTAATCCATTTTCCCTAAAATGAAGAATAAGTTATGCCTTTGGCACTGAATGTTGCTTAGTATCCTATAGAAAGCTGCTCATCTGTAGCTATCTTGGCTCCACCCCACCTTAATATCCTATGTTTCCTTGACATGGTGTGAAGGAATAAAAATAGGAAGATCTTTTAAAATAGAAATCAATCTTTGATTAAATCTATCTCAATTGTCTATTTTACTCTAAATATTCAAAGGAACGCTGGTCCATTTTTCTACATAACTTTTTTCATCTGTCAGAGCTTCCTAGGAATCCTGTGATATGCAAAAAGGATCCTAAAACCTCACTCCCTATACATGTAAAAATTAGAATTGATACTTAAAGGCATCAAATATGTTTTGCTCCAATTTAGAAAGCAATAAGACAAGGCACTAACCTGAGCTTACTAGTGGAGTATGATTAGGAATGGAAAATTTTGACTGATCTATGGAACATGCCATCAGCATATAGATTATGCATTATACTCTTGCCTCCCCTAATGTGATTCCTTTAGTACTTACAGAATTTCTAACTGCACATGTAAAATGTTCTAAAGCTAAATTTAAAAAGAAAAGATGGAAGAGGGCATCTTTGATGAGGTGCATAACATAATATTAACCACTGAAAATACCCTGAATTAAGATTTAATTCTTAAACTCTTTTATTTAAGTCAGTCTAGGCTATAAGCTGTAGGGAATTCATAATAAATCAGTGCCTGTTTCAAAAACTTCCAGGAAATCATATCAAAAGCTTTCTCAGTATCCAAAGAAATAATTAACTGCCAGATTCTGCCTGTTTTGAATCAGTCACACCAATTTAAAAAAGATAATATTATGGAAATGTTGACAATCCTGTATAAATTCAGATTTCCAAATAGCCCTCTAAACAGTGGTAAAACGCTAGTTTTTAAATACAGAAAAAACAGGTGCATTCTTTAGATCATTTTGTAATTGACAGAGACAGGACTTTCCAATTGTATAACAAAATATTTTGCTGTCCTCTTACTTTCCAAAATGTTGGTATATATTTCAAAAGAATACAAGCATCTACAGAAACCAATGAGTCTTCTAAACAAAATCAACATGTGCAATAACTTCAGTCCAAAGAAGGAGCCAAGTGGCACATTACCACGCTCTGTAAAATGTGAGAGAGATTATAGATTTGTCAGCAATCCTCATGATTACTCTTCTGTTTCTTTCACAGTTCCTGCTTCCTCGCCTCCCACAGTTGCTCCATTTGCTATCACCCCAGCTGCCACTGTGACTGTTCCTGCCAACACCTCTCCTACTATGGTTTCCCAAATTGCCTCAAGCCCCATGCCCAAGGAGGAACCGGAGATGTTAACCCTGCGTTCTACTACACCTACACCACCGCCCCTTTCTATCCTGGCCCCAAGGCCTAGACGGCAACCCCCACCCCCACCTCGTTCACCTTTTTATCTGGTGAGTTTCCTGGTTGAGGGACGTGACTTTCAGGTGGACTGGTGGAACAGGATGGTGGAGAGGTGGTTGCTGTGATGTAGGAAGAGGTTGAATACAGTTCTACCTAGTTTGCTTGCTCTGGCCTACAGGAATCACTTGAAGAGAAGCGGAAGAAGCAGAAGGAGGAGCGTCTTGACCGGCTTTTCCGTCTCAATGAACAGCATTGCAACCTTGTGCCCATCTACGGTACTGAAGTGCTACGCTTTTGCACCCTCTTTCCTCCTGCTCCTCCACCTCCACAGGAGGAGGAGGAGGAGGTGGAGGAAAGTGAAGAACGAGCAATAGCAACACAGAAAGTAGAACCAAAGGGTTCGAGTGGGACTCGCTACACCCATTGCTACGCAGCTCAAGTGCAAAGGGGCGCACAGCATCTCGAGGCCTATTGGCAGCGGTCAGAAACCTTGGGCCAGGCTATCCTGACACCCCAGCAACGGATTGAGGAGCTGACAGACATTATAGAGAGGTAACATTTTCCTGCAGATACTTGGCCTTTTTGAAGGGGTGGTCCTAAGGGGGAGAAGCATGAAGAAATCCTTTACTTTTTCAAAATATTCCTGTGAGTTCCAGCTTTAGTCAAATCTTCCTCTCCACTTTCTTGAGGTGTTTATACACCTCCTTAACTGCCCATTGGTCTTTGCAGGTTCATTTTTGTTATGCCTCCTGTGGAGGCTCCTGCTATCACCATGCACACCTCTCATCCTCCCCCAACACTCCTGCTCCAGCAGTCTGTCTTCAAGGAGACATTGCGACAAGAGCTCTCGCCACATGCGAGTTGTCTGCATCGTATCATTTGCAACATGAGGACGCAGTTTCCAGACCTCCGCCTCATCCAGTACGACTGTGGTATGTGGTGAAGAGTAGGGTCTGTTTGGCACCAGCTGGGAATAAGGGCAATGTGTTAGGCTACTTGTAAGGTCAAGCAAATTACATCTGGGTTGGCAGATATATAATTGCCCATTGCTCAGTTTCTCTCTGTTCTTTCTTTTGTCTTCAGGGAAATTGCAGACTTTGGATGTTCTTCTACGGCAGCTCAAGGCTGGGGCCCACCGGGTCCTCATCTTCACCCAGATGACCCGCATGTTAGATGTGTTGGAACAGTTCCTCAATTATCATGGGCATATCTATCTGCGATTGGATGGTAGCACTCGGGTAGAGCAACGGCAAGTAAGTGATAGCAGCTTGTGCCCTTCCTGGAATACTAAGCAAATCCCTGCTAGAGGTGATTTTTTGGAAAATAGAAAATTGAAACTATAAATGAGGAATAGCTTTATTAGGCCAAGCATTTTCTTTAATTGTTACAGTATTTTAGAAGATACAACTATATACTTTATTTAACTTATTCTGAATGTAGACTGTCTTTTCATTGAACTTGTCATAAGGCTAAAATAGTTAAATAAAAAGGGGAAGGATTTGACTGTTGTTAGAGCCTATGTTGTATCAGTTGCATTCTTAAGTAGAACAAGAGCAAGTCTATAGGAATGTAATTTGGCTGTTACTTAGTAAAGTGCATAGGACTAAATTGCAGTGCAATCATGCTGCTTTCTTCCTACCTCATTTATTTATTATTTGTTTAAACAATGTCTGGCTGCTCATCTCCCAGAAGTGATTCTGGGTGGCGTACAAAGGTTAAAAACAACAACCACAGTTTAACAAAAACCAAATATCTGAGGCCATAAACACAGTCCAATTCACAATGAATAACATTAACCAGAAGAGCTTGCCTAACCACGCAGCTCAAGCACCTGGGGGAACAGCTAGGTCTTTAATGCCTTACGAAAAACTGACAGGGTTGAGGCCATCCTAATCTCCAGAGAGATGCTGTTCCACAGGGCAGACACTGCTGTAGCGAATGCATGACTCTGGGATCCAACAATATGGCATTGTTTAATGGAAGGGACCAGGAGCTGTCCTTCCTGCTAGGTCAGGTGGGGCAAGTAAAAACGATGGCAGATAGGCAGTCATGCAAAACAGGTATGTGAACATTTGAAAAAAATTGCCTACATTCAGAATAAATGAATTATCTATCTTGTGGCTTTTTTCTTGGTTGAAATAAAGAAGATTGCTGCATGGGTAAGTGAATAATTGGGACATTCAAAGAGTGGGGGTCATAATGATAGTGATGCAACTTGTGGAGACTCTGTCCTGTAATGGAAGTTTTTTTAACATACAATGTAGTTCTGGGGGGAAATTGATTTTCTAGGTTACCAACTTAAGATAATTGTATCATTTACTCTTAATCTTGTACTGAATATCTGATTCATAAACTTATGTTCCCCTCCTAGGGCTAGGAGGTAAAGGCAGGAATCCCAGTCCAGGATTTTCTTTCTTTCTTTGACTCTGGCAGGCACTCATGGAGCGTTTCAATGCAGACAAGCGCATCTTCTGTTTCATCTTGTCAACACGCAGCGGTGGGGTGGGAGTGAACCTGACAGGTGCTGACACTGTGGTGTTCTATGACAGTGATTGGAACCCCACCATGGATGCTCAGGCCCAAGATCGCTGCCACCGTATTGGGCAGACACGGGACGTTCACATCTACAGGTTAACTAGGCTTTCTGTTCTGTATGTCTCAGAGCATTGGTTAGTCTAATTCAGCCATGTTTACACTGACCGGCAGTTACTCTTCAGGGTTTCAGTCTGCACTTGGCAAATGAGGTTGGAGAACATCTACAAAGCATGGGATCTAGGAGGTTATGCCTCATGATAACAGATAGCTGGGTGCTCCCATTTTTCAGCATTAGCCATTAGAGGGAGCTCTGGCAGCTGCAGAAAAGGATTCATATGTTTAGCAGTTGTATTAAAGCAATTAGGTTATTTTTTAAAAAAGGAGCTTGGAAGTTTCATAGGTTTTCTCTGGTGTAGCAGTAACTTACAGATTAACTCTCTGATGCCTTCTTTAGGTTGATCAGCGAAAGGACTGTGGAGGAAAATATTCTGAAGAAAGCTAATCAGAAGAGAATGCTAGGAGACATGGCTATTGAGGGGGGCAACTTTACTACAGCATATTTCAAGCAGGTAACTATATATCTCTATCTCTATCTGTAACTGATGCAGAACCTCGGTGCTGAGTTGTGTTGTGCCTGGTGCATGAGACAAGGGGTTTGAGGTGGCAGTGCTTTGTTCTTAAGCATCGTAGAGCTTCTTAATTCTGCCATGCTATTCTGAGACATACTTAGTTATGTTAGTCTGCTACAAGAAAGGCAACAAAAGAATAATCAGATGTGCATGGCAAGCAGTTTCTATCTTAAGGATAATTTGTAACTTAATTTCTGTGCTCCTCAGCAAACTATTCGTGAGCTGTTTGACATGCCACTAGATGAACCCACAAAAAAGGAAGGAGAGGCCCCAGTTCTAGTGCAGGAGGAGGAAGAAGATACCATGGCCACCAAGCAAACACAGATTCTGGAACAAGTAGGTTACTTTATTCATAAAGCTGAACATAAGGTATCTGCCCTCCTTTGACAAGGATTGTCATTATTTCTGCCTGGAAATGTCTTCCCTCACAGGCACTGTGCAAGGCTGAGGATCCTGAAGACATCCGGGCAGCCACTCAGGCCAAAGCAGAACAAGTGGCTGAGCTGGCAGAATTCAATGAGAACATTCCTTTGGATGCAGAAGATAGGTCCAGCAAAGAAGAAGAAGAAGAAATTTCTAAGGCAGAGCAGGAAATTGCTTCACTCGTAGAACAGGTACATAAAATCCTGTCTTCTAACCTGAGATGAATGGAAGGCTGCCCCTTTGTTCCGTGGCATATATCTGCTACGACCATATGAAGTTCCTGTTTCCTCTAACATCAAGCAGAGGATTTTTTGAGTTTGTTTGTTTGTTTAAGTGTATATGGCTGCCCATCTCACCATCATGACTCAGGGAGGCCAACAACAATTAAAAAATACAACCAAACAACAGCATAACAATGAATACTTAAATGACACCAGGAGTAAAAAGATAAAAAAACATCCAGAATTCAACATAAATATAAACCTCACAAGTGCTGCCCTACATCCCAACCCCCATGCCCAAAATAATTATAACCACGTGATCTGTACTTTTCAAAGATCCCCTCTGAAGTTTTTTCCATTTTGTAGCTCACTCCTATTGAACGGTATGCCATGAACTTTTTGGAGGCATCTCTGGAGGACATCAGTCGGGAGGAGTTGAAGCAAGCAGAGGTAAATTCCCAATCCCTTGTTGGTGAAACTCTTTTACATAATACCTTGTCAGACAAGTGTGGCATGAAGGGTTCCATGTAACTTTTTTTTTTTTAAAACTGGCTAAATCTTCCAGATTAATGTTGGTCAGCTCCTCAATCTGATTCAACTTCTTTAAAATAGCCGCAAAGCAACCCTCTTCCAGGCTGTTGAGAGTCCCATTTTTTCTGCTCTCTCAACCTTTCATGGAGAGGACAGTCAGCACATTATGTATGTTACAAAATAGGACCTTCTGTAATTTTGAAATATGATGATGATATTTAGCAATTGGTCCTACTGGGAAGGGAAAAAAAAGGTTAAGTCTCTATAGTCGTATTTTCCCTGATGCCTTTGAGTAGCTCCCAGAGTTTGGATTGGGCTAGAATCACTTGCTTAGCCAGTGGTGATTCCCGTTTGGTTCCTACTTAACTGATTTCTCTGTTCCAGGAACAGGTGGAAGCTGCCCGCAAAGATATTGATCAGGCTAAGGATGAGGTGGTCTTTAAACTGCCAGAGGACGAAGATGAGAGTTACCTCCTTGAGGAAGGGTCCAGCAAGAAAAGCAAGAAGGGCAAGATTCCTGGTCGGACACCCTCAGAGAGGACAGGCACACGCATGAGTGAACGGCTGCGTAGCACTCGTCTTCCACCAAGGGATGGGGATAGTGGAGAAGTGGAATCCCCCCAGACTAGGCTGCCCAATCTCCGGCATCCCCGAATTGTGACAGATGAGGAAGATGACAACCTGCCCCAAGTAGCGCAGCACACAAGAAGTGCTGCAGTGCGTAGAGAACTGGTGCGGGAAGAAAAGCGTGCTCAAATTGTCCTGAATACTCGCAGAACTTTGGCCCGTCGAGAAGAGCCGTGGAATAAAGGCCCAACTAGTGGGGAGAGAATGCAGAAAATGCCTCCCCACAGAAGCGAAGCTTTTGGTGACAGGGTTTTGAGAACTAATCTCCATAGAACAGACACCCCATCTGTTGGGGATAAGCTGCTACAAGCTACTCCACAGAAATCAGATCCAGGAGCTGCTGGTGACAGAATTCTGAGAGGCACTGCATCAAAGACAGAGACCTTGCTTCTTGATGAAAGATTACCAGGAAGTGTCCCACAGACATCAGATACCAGTTTGGATAAGGTGCTGAGGCCAAGCCTACAGAAGCCTGAAAAACCTGGGCTGGATAAATTTACATGTAGCTCACCTAAGTCTGAGGTGTCAGGGACTGAGGTAATGGTTCCTGGATTTCATTTGCAAGGCCTGGATGGAGAGGTATTTAAATTAAAAACGGATTTAGGAGAGCAGAAAGCAGAAGAAATTTCCCAGCTCAGTCTGCCAACCCCTGAATTCCAAGCAGCTGAGTATGCTGCATGTATGGAAGTACCAGCATTCCAAGAACAAGACACTCTAGTTGCTGGGAAATTGTTGGCTACACAGACATTTTCTGATGCTGGGAAGGCCATCCTGAATATCCCAGCTATTAAAATGAAAGCAGCAAACCCAGTGCCACTTGTCACTGTGGAACTAACTTATGAGAGCAAACCTGAGGCTGCAGGCGAGATAAATTTACCTTTGATTGAGCAAAAGATGAGCGTACGCAAGCCAGCAGAAGGAGCAGATGTGAGCACTAGCTGCGGTGCTGCAGAACAAGAATCAATCAATTCTGTGGATGAGGCAACCAGACGCGTCTCTATTGAAGAGACAGCAGCACCTCCTGATGACCCCGCTAGGATAGTAACTGAGCCTCTTTCTCCTAAAAGCGCAAAAGACACCACTTGGGAAACCACAGACAGTGCAGCATCATTTATGTTGGACAGTGAAGTCCCCAAGATGGACACCCCTGTGTTTACTTCCCTGGATCACTCTCCAGCTACTAGCTCTCTGCTTCAACTGGAAACTTTGGCCTGCATCAAGGAACAAAATGGCTTGAAAGAATCTCTGAGAAGTGGAGACTTCCCTTCTCCTATTTCAAGTTTGCTAATTGAGCCCCAGCTTGAAATCTTGCCTTTGGGGAGTACATTGCCAATATCAGAGACAGGTGACAACAAAGTCAATAGTCTCGGTGAATCAACAACTCAGAATCAAGGAGTGGTAGGGAAAAAAAATAATGGGGAGGGGCACCAGGAGGCTAGGCTTATAACAGTCTGCCCAGGATCTGCCTCTTCACAGGAGGGTACATCACTTCCAGGAAATTTGTCTTCAGATGAGAGTCTTTCACCGAACAAACCCCCACGTCGTCGAACCAGTGCTGATGTGCAAATTCAGCAGAGCTGTCAAACTCCAGATGGCCCTGCTGCCAAAGTCTTACGCAAGCTGCCAGGACGCCTGGTCACAGTGGTGGAGGAGAAAGAGCTCATTCGTCGTCGGCGTAATCGCATGTGCAAACTGGATTCTGCCCCCAGTGCTGTGATGAGTCTGGGCAGTAGCTCAGCACAAAGCTTGTCGGAGCCAGAGATTTTGCCTTCTCCTAAACCATTGCCACTATTGCGTGACTTGCCTGCCCGTCGAAGAATTGAACTGGAGAGCCGGGCAGCAGCCAAAGAAAGAGATGATGGTTCAAAAGGAGAGCTGCTCGGTAGTATGTCCTCTGAGCCTGTCAAGCGCAAACGGGGACGTCCTCCCAAGAACAAGTCACCGGATCAGCAGAGTCCAGGGTTGCTCCAGCCCTTCTCTGAGCCAGCTCTGGAGATCAGCTCCCAAAGAAAAGCGCCAGTGAGGAAAATACCTGAGGGCCATCCACGGACTAAATCCCCAGAGCAGAAGGTGCCTGAGACCTCCTCCCCCAAGAGTGAATCTCCCAAGAGTAAGACAGACAGTAGTGAGAATGGTGACTCCCCTGTGGAGAAGCGAAGGCGTGGCCGGCCTCCTAAGGCACGGCAGTCCCCCATCATGCCTCCCAAGTCTCCTGCTTCTGAAGTGCTGCTAGCCCCATCCACAAAACCTCAGACTGTAGAGCTACCCCTTAAGGTGCAAAAGAAGCTGCAGAAATCCCCCGAGCCAATCTCTGTAACAGAGGCAACATCGAAGATTCATGAGTCGCTAGACTTGCATCCCAAAATGGCCATCTCAAAAACCTCTCCTAAAGCACGGAATCGAATGTCACTGCATTCTAAATCCATGTCAATGTCTAAATCAACCTTGAAGGCACGAGAATTGCTGACCACTTCCCCCAAAGCGCTTTCCAAATCATCCACCGAAGTGTGTGAACCCCTCGCTTCTTCCCCTAGAGGGGTCTCTGCAACAGAAACTTCACTGGAGATGCAAGAGCCACCTTGTCTACCCCCTGTGTCATGCTCGCTACCCAAAGGTACCTCTAGTTCCCCAGCAGCAAATTCTCCACCTAAGCGGAAAAGGGGTCGTCCCCCAAAGAACCCATCTTCTCCTCGGGTGGAGGTGGCACAGCCTCCTGCCTCAGCCTCTGACCAGGAGGCCTCTCTGGAGAAGCACACCCCAGCTCCTCCTGGCCGCAAGCGACGAAGGCGTAGGAGAAAGGATGACCTTGGCCCATCGTTGCCTGGCACCAACCAGAGCTCCTCGGAGGGTGAGGATACTCGACCACTCACCAGACTTGCCCTGCTCAAGCGGGAGGAAAAGCCAGAGTCTTGCAGTGGGGCTTTAGTTCAGCCCTCTCCAAAGCACACTGTCACTGAGAGGGCTTCATCTGCAGAGAGTAGTACTTGGGAGCAGCCTTCTAGCGACACCCCTACCCGCTCAACTCGCCTGCGGCCTGGCTGTCTTGTTCCACCGCTGGAACGGGAAACCCAGCGACGGAAGCGGCGCTGCTCCTTGGAGGGTAAGCGGGTGAGCAACAGCAGTAAGTCACCTGCTTCCCAAGTCATCTCTGAGCAGGAGGGTGGAGAGTCGGAGTCTTCTCTGAAATCCTCCTCGGAGTCAAATAGTTATAAGTGTATCCAGCAGCCGAAGCGCCAGTGTTATGACTCGGCAAGGGGGCACGGTCGAAAGAGGGGCCAGCATCACCACAGTGGGATGGCCGACCGCATCCTCCGTAGCGCAGTTAAGCCTGCCGACGATACCCGATCGGCGTCCTCCCCGATTCCCCCCAGGAAACCAGGCCCTGCTTCTGCTTCCTCCTCAGCTGGGGGGGTCACTGGAGCACTCTCTCCCTCAACAACCCCTTCCTCCACTGCCCCGGTTACCTCTTCGCAAAGTAACAGAGGCCGCAAGCCCAAGACGTGACCACAGCGCGAGATGTTCTGCTGTTATTTCTCTGCGGGGATGGCTCAGCAGCCATCTCTTTTCCCGCACATACAGTAAGCAGCTCTAGTCCCCACCCTCCCTTTGCTCTTATTCCTCCCGTTAACGTGGGGGCAGCTAATGGGGCTCCCTGCATTCCAGTCTTGACTGTTGGAGTACTACTTGAAAGGAGGAGGACCGTGAGCATGGCTCTTCATTCCCAGGTGCTTTTCTGGGAGCAGGCAAGGGGCACTCATGCTGATGTCGCTATGTGTAGCTCAGTTGCCCCGCTGTGGGTTGTAGTGGCAGGGCCAGCACTTTTGCAATGAATTCCGCTACTTCCTGACCATGGGGAGAGGGGGTGGGGGAGTAGCTTCATAGAGTTGTTGCCCCTAGAGTAACACTACAGGGCACCTGCCATCCCTAAATGCCCCAATGCTTTGGGAAGTCTCGCCCAGGCTTTTGATAGGCGCTTGTCACGTTTTGGGCCTGGGTGTTCCTCTGTCCTCTTCCCTCCCCCCTCTCTCCCAAGTCCTCCAGAGGATGCCCTCCCGATTTATAAACACAATTAGCTCTTACTTTTTTAATGGCTTTGGGTTGGTTTTTAAATGACAGTGACCAAATGCTAGGTCCCCTTTTCTGGCTACCCCTTTTGATTGTCTCCGTGCTTATTCCATTCACAATGTAGGGCCCCTTTGAGGCATGAAGAGGTGGGAAAGTTGACTCCCCAAAATGGAGGGCAAGGGAGGAGACACAAGACACAACCCAATAAGATTATGTGCTCCTTTTTTGCATCACCACCAAGAGGAAAATGTCTTATTTTAATGATGTCGATCACATCCTCACTGCTCCAAGGACTTTTTTGTCGGTTCATGAGTTGGGTCAAATCCTTCTCCCCTTCCACTCCTCTTGTGTACAGCTCTCATTGTAAAATAGGTTCTTTTGAACATAAACTATGCAAAGGTTATTTTGTATAGGGGAGCACAACTTTCCCTCCCCTCCCCCACTGCAATGGGTTTAGTGGGCAGCAGCAGTTCTCTGGATTTGGGGAGGGGTGCAGTTGGGGTGGAGGGGGAGGTGTTCCCATGGAGCTGTCTTTCCTACTGAAGCATGTTCAGAACTTGTACAGAAGACCGATGTAATCTTTCTTCAGAATAATGCTATGAATAAAGTGTTAAAAGGGGAAAAAACCGCACACCACATGGATTTGTGGAATCTTTTTTTTTTTTTTTAAAAAGATTGTTTTACTTTCTCTGTCTCCATCTCTTTGGAAGGCAGCCTGCTTGGGCACATTGGGTTGGGTTCTGTAAGGGAGCTGGGGGTTGGTGTTTCTCCACACACACTCGTGCTCAGATTCCGCTGATTACGTGGTCTCTAATGCAAGGGGTCATTTGCTGTCATATCCAGTTGGGCAAACTAGAGTCTCTGCTTGCCCTAGTCCCTTGCACGTTTCAAATCATAGCTTAAGTATGGTTTGCAATTGTAGCTTGGAGGCTAAGCCCAATATTTAGTATACCTGCAGTTTAAAATTAAAGTTTGTGCTAAGAAAGGTAGCAAATTGTATCTGAGCTCATTAGGAAGTACCCAAACTTAAAAAGTATTATTTGGGCATAGGAGTGGAAGATTGCAAATGTTGTATCTTATTCCATGTTCTGTATCATGACAGGATTTTCACTGTAACCCAACTTGTTTATTTAGTGCATTTATATCCTGCCACCAAGACTCTACATAAGATTGTGGTGGGATATAAATGTAATAAATAAATAAATTTGGGAAGCAAGAAGGAAGACCAACTGATCCGCCTGTTGTAATTGGACACCCACATCCTTTGTCCATGTAATTAATTTAGAAAGGCTCTCCACATGGGAAGATTTTCTTTCTAAGTAAAAGACACACATCTTGCTTGCACAGAGTTAGTTCATGTGTGGAGGTAGGAAACAGTTCAGAGAAGATAAAGTCTCTCCCCCTACAGTCAGCCAGAACAGCTCGCTTTGTCCTGCTCTTGCTCCTCTTTGCACATCAACTTCCCTACTACTGACAAGCATGACCATCTTTTAGGTAATTGGGTATTAATCCTAAATCAGGTGGGGGGGTCTTTGTTTAGCCTGCAGAAGAGATAACTGTGGGGAGAAATTATCACACTCTTGATCTCTCTGAAGGGTTGGCACATAGCAGAAGAAACGGATTTGCTCTCTTGTCCCACAGGGCAGGATCAGAACAGGTGGGCTAAAATTACAAGGAAGCCCTCTCAGGGTAGGTGTTGGGAAGAATTTCATGACTCGACAAGCTGTCATCAAGTGGAACAGGTTGCCATACAAAGTGAATTCTTTACTTAAGGTCTTTAAACAGCCTGGATGGTTGTTTCTCAAAGATGTGAGTCTTGTCTTGAGCAGGGGATTGTCCCTCCAACCCTGTGATTCTGTGATCCCCCATTAACTGACTAGCAGGACCAAGGGTGGTGATCATGGAAGTGTAGTCCGCATTATTTGGACACTGCAGGTTCGCTATTGTACCAAAGCCTCTTGCTCCCATTATACCAAAATGGAAATATTTAGGTGTCGATCAATAGAATGGTGGTTGGAGAGGACAAGTAGTGGTAGTTCCAGCCCATGTGAGGGCAACAGATTGGAAAAGGCTGGTCTACATGGGAAGGAATGGGGAGAACACACTTCTTTGCATTACCAACCGAGAGCTTAAAAGTCTGCTGGCAACAAATACAACCAAAATTGTTTCAGTGTTCCCTAAAAGGAAATAATAAATATTTGACGCATAGTTTGTTGCAGGCTTTGGAAGGTGTCTTTCTTGCTGCTAGCTTAGGAATGTAGGCAAACCTGTTCCCCCGTCTACGGCATTACTTGGCAGAGGACCTGGTGTGATTCCCCGGTGCTGCTGCTGAGGTGTGCCCTGATTTGGACTTGATGGAGCTATTTCTAAGCTACAGCTAGTTTCCTGTTTTCATCTCTTGATAATCTTATTGTTACTTGCCTGAAAAGACGCGTTTAATATGGATTGTTGAATGGAACTGAATATGCTCACGGCACTGTATGAAATTCCAAGATAAGAAGAAGGGTCCCTTGAGAAATAATTTCTTGCCTCGATTCTTGCTGTTCTGTGTACTGTGTTAATCTGGATTTGAATTTGAGCATATCTACAGTAGGGTAAGTACTGAAGCAAATTAAACGCTTTATTGATAAACAGTGAAAGATGAGAAATAATAAAAGGACATCCATTAATGCGGTGCACAAGAAATTAAGGAGGCAACTTGAATAAGAAAATCATGCCCTCGATGATTAGAGCCTATGTTGTCTCTTCCTTACTCAAGATTATTTCAACTTGTTAAGGCATCTTCGACCAACCTAAATGTTTCCTAGCAGTTGTAAGTCATAAATTGATACTCTAGCCATATTGAGCTAGACATAAAGATGAAACCAGCTCAAGCTACGTTTTTTTTCTTTATGTGTCCTTCAGTTTATAAAAGTGCTGTACAGCTAATGTATACATGTAGTAGTACATCCCTTTCACCTGGGGTAATTTTCCAGTCCCTGCATTTGGATTTTGAAGCCGCAAAAAAGTCACTACCAACTGGGTTATTGTGAAAGTGTGAGCAAATTCAAAGGAAAGAAAGATTTAAAGGCAAATTTATATTTTACCAAAATCAAGGGGCTTTCCAAATACATGTGAGTATAAGATTTTGCATAGCACTGTAGTCTGCACTGTGCTTACCAAGTTCTACTTTAATGTCTATCAATTTCATGCCTTCACCAAACCATACATACATACATTAAAAATTTAAAAATTGAAAGTGGCATGTTGCTAATGTCAATCTTATTTTGGAGAATGCTTGTGGGTGGTTTCTTTGAACATAACCATGATAGGTGACTAGAGCCCAGCTCCACCTGCCTTGAAAAAGAGGAAAGGTCAACTCAGGAGATGGGGAAACTCCTAGAGGAGGGAGGGTGATGGGTAATGTTCTAAACTGGCACTTTGCAGCTGGTTAGAGGTCTCGCCTCCTGGGCAGCCATAACTAAATGAGAAGTATGCAGCTATTTTGCAAAACTGTCCACAACACGCACACATCATAGCAAACTCAGGACTCCTGAGTTAGGCAATGGGATTGAAAATATTTGCAACTGTGTGATCTGGGCAGTTTCATTTTCAGAAGCAAGCACCCCCTTCTTCCCCAAAGTTTCTTGGCTCACCTAGAATGGGTGGGAAGTCCTGTTCTATGGGGGATGATCTGTCAAATCAGTGTGGCAGGCTCCATTTGCACAGCAGGCTTAGCCTGCTTCACTGAAGCCATTGATTTTATAGGTTAGAATCAGAGAACTGGAAAGGACCTCAGAGGTCATCCAGTCCAATCCCCTGTTCAATGCAGGATCTACTAATGCATTTTGAACAGGTAGCTATCCAGCCTCTGTTTGAAAACTTCCAGTGGAGAAGAATATACCCCTTAATGAACTAGCCTATGCCATGGCTTTATAGTTCTTGCCATCAGGAAATTCTTCCTAACATCTAACCTGAATCTACTTCTCTGTAGTTTCCACCCATTGTTTCTGCTCCTGCCCTCCAAGATAACAAAAAATTTAATTTTAATTTAATTTAATTTAATTTAGTTAATTATCACATTTCTTGGCCTCCCAACTCCCACCAACTCTGGACAGCTTCACAAACTAAAAACCCAATAAAATACAGGGAACAAGTCTACTGTCTCCTCTATATTTCTCCTTTAAAGAAAGACTGCTATTGTATATCCCTTAACTAACCAATTGAATTTGCCCATGATAAGCTACCATAAAATAAATAAGGTTAAAACTAATCAAACTTAGCTGGCTGTGCAAGGCAGCTGCTAGGTCCTTAAGTCACCTGATTTCTTGAGTGAGCAATGTAAAAGTGATGGGTTAAGAAATCCCGTCAATCTTTCTACCCTTCTCTTCGTTTTTCCCACCCTGCCAAGCAGCCACTGCTCAGAATATTCCCTATCTTACCTGCCAAGCTCCATCACCTTCAGCAGTTGGGGACAGCCCAGAACCTTCCTCTCACTCAGCTTTCTGTACTGCCTAGCAGAGATTTCCAGTTTGACCATTTCTCATCAAAACTGCAGCACCCAGAAGGTCAACTGGAAGGAAGGAAGGAAAGGAGGAGAGACCAGAAACTCAACTGGAATGATTAAAACATAGATGACTTCATTGAGAAAGTAGGAACCCAGCCCAAGAAAGACACATACGGTCATGGGTGTATGAGTACATAACAGTCTGGGAGAAAACCAGTAAACATCAAGAGGTATGAATTTTGTCTGGATGTGAGTCTTTTCTCAAAGCTTGTTTTCTCCTGTTCCTCTCTTCCCTACCTTCACCAAAAGAGCTGAATGAAAGTTCCAGTCAAAAAGCAATGATCCTCAGGAGCCACTCTCTGATCTTGATCTCCTGAGGATCCGCTCTCTGATCTTGATCTCAGTGCATTCCATTTGTGAAAAGGTGTGTGCCTGGGGGTGTTCTGCCTTGTTTGCTTTTGTCAGGCTCAACTCAAAGACAACACACAAGAGCTTTGCTCAAAGACGAGGCTGAGATGATGTGATTCTTCTCCATGCCACACCATGAAGACCTAGGGTTGGAATCCAGGTCTCCCAGATGAAACAGACATTGTCACTTCCTGCCTCTGAAATTAGATTCACAATCCTGGACTAGAATCCTCACTCCTCAAGTAGTTAATGTGGTTCACTGAAAGAGAGAGCAAAAGAGACTAGCTTTTTATTTTTCTTCAGCAACTTTGTTGTGCGTCCTTTAGCCATGGATGAAGAGATGGGAGTCATCAATGCGGGAGAGAGCAGAGGGGTGGAAGCACCAGGCACCTTGGAGAGTGACATTCCTGGCAAGCCCCCTCCTTTGAATGTGTGCAGATTGCGCAACCTGGCCATAGCTAGCATCATCTGTGGCTGTTCGTGTATTGGGATCCTGGCTCTGATCTACGCAGTCAAGGTGAGTGATGCTTTCTCATTTGGAAGTTGCCGGTTGGGAAGGAAGTGGGAAAATTAATGCCTCCTTTTCTGTGTTCCCTGAACTAAAAAGAGAACAATATTAGGTCCAATTTTCTTTGGGAAAATAATTCCTGGGGATTAAGAAAAACAATATATACCCCCCTTCTCTCATATTTACAAATGCTACGATCTTCCTTCCTTCCCAAATATATGCACTGATCCAAAATGGAAGTATTTAAAAACTTAATCTAGACCATTGTTTCTCAACCTTGGCAACTTTAAAATGTGTGGACTTCACACCATGGGGAATTCTGGGAGTTGAAGTCCACACATTTTAAAGTTGCCAAGGTTGAGAAGCACTGATCTAGACCAATAAAATCTTTTTGCCATCACTTTTGTTCCTGGTTCCCCATCTTTGTCAGAGAGAAGAAAAACCTACATACCAAAAAATCACGATGTGTCTCTAGTGGCATAAAGAGAGAGAGAGAAAAAGGGAGGGGGGGATTTAAGGGTGTTTCTTGCTACACTTAATGGCTAATCACACAGCTAGTACCTTCAGCTAGTAGACCTAATCATGCCCAAAGGAGAAAGGAGCGAATTGTATTCCATTTTCCAAAACTGAAAAACCAGATTTTCACAAAGTACCTATGATGGCCAAAACGGACAATAATAGGGAGGAGTTTGGATGGTAGGATAAAACATTCCCCAAGCAGGTGTGGAAAATAATCACATTTCTGCCCCACCCATCCCAGAGCTGATTATCATGAAAATTCCCATGCTACTGTCAGGCAGCAGAGCTTGATCAATATTCTTGATTGGCTCCATAGCCTGCAATATTCCACAGGCTCTGCGGTTCAAAAAAGCATCATTCCACATTCCTCTAAGGAAGGTATCTCAGGCCTCTTGTGGGCTGTAAAAAGCGATAAGAGATGAGTTAATTTTTAAGACTCTTGTTTTTGTCGTAACACAGCTTCTGTTCTGGAAAGCAGAAGTTCCTTAAAGGTTTAAGGATTAATCGGTGGAGTAAACAGAATTAATTGTGGGAGACAAGGTTCCCTATAAAACTGGATTTGCCCCCCCCCCGGTCCTGCCCCTGCAATGTGCAGCTGCAGGGGTGTTATGGGAGAGTATTCAGCACATTGTCATTTCACAAGCCACAAGTCCAACAGCCTCCCTTTTTTTTATGGTAGGAAGTCAATGGCCAAAGTGTTCCTTGAGGACAGGAAGAAAACAAAAATCAACATTGCTCTTAGCAATTCACAAGTGGAACCTATGACAAAATGTTGCTTCATCTGGTTCAGTGTTTCTCAACCTCGGCCACTAGAAGATGTGTGGACTTCAATTCCCAGAATTCCCCAGCCAGCCATGCAGGCTGGGGAATTCTGGGAGTTGAAGTCCACACATCTTCAAGTGGCTGAGGTTGAGAAACACTGGTCTGGCTGCTTGCTCTGTGAAATTCCTTTGAAGAGCAAGCAGCCATTCTCTTCCCTTTCCACCTAGTGTCCTATTCCATCCCTCAATGGGCAATCAATCAGAATTTGGTTGGCACAAACAAAGCTTATCCTCTCTTTCCCAGCATCTTTGGTTTTTCAAGATTATTTTTTTCTGCAAATGCTCAGCCACTACATGATCTGCTACACACCTCCCAGCTGTTCCGATCTCACTAATTTTGATGCTCATCCAGGATAAGAAAGAGGGGGAATTGTATTTCCTTGGAAAACCAGGTTGACTCATGTTTATTAGTTAACAATGTGGGAAGGTTCTAAACCAGTGTTGTCCAAACTTGGCCACTTTAAGATGAGTGGACTTCAACTCCCAGAATTAAGATGAGTGGAC